AAAAAAAAAAAAACCCAGAGAAATTGAATTTTGCTTGCTAATTTCTTTCAGCTTTAGCAATTGAAGAAGTTATTTTAACAATACTATGACACTGTAAGAAACAAGTATTATTTTCATGTTGATGATGTCCTGTTTATCTTACTGTGTTTTCTTTCAACAAAATATGAAAAGTAAGAGTTTTGTTTATGGTGACAGAGTGGAGCAGTAAATTTTCCTTTTCCTCTCTAGAAATGCAAATCAAAATTAAAATTAGTTCTGATGGGCACTTTCTAGTCCCAGTTTGTGCATAGTATTGCTAGCTAGAACGTTATCCTGCAACCAGCTCACCCCAGTACACCATGTAATATGAGTTTTTGTCTGTGGCTGGTCTATGTGGTGAACTCCTTTGGATACGGATCATGTCATATTTGTTTGTAGAGCACCAAGCTCGTTGTTGGGTCTCAAATACTGATATCGTAAAACCCATGTAATCTCGCACACTCAGCAGCCTCTTCTGTGCAAAGGCCCAGAACATGAATGGAAGGGATGGTCCTAGTTAGGATGAACAGTAGGGGCTCATTCTTGTAAAAGGTATGTATTGATGTAATTTTACTCAGATGGGTAGTCTCACATGGACACTTCTGGGGTGGATTTCGGTGGGATATGTGAAGAATAAGGTACCACTCAGTGTGAGTGACGGAGACAAATTGGGCCCTGAGGATCCCTCTCAAACTGCCATTGGAGGCACCAGAATGCTTTTCATTCATTTGAGAGAAAGCTGTCTGTCTGTTTCAAAAGGACATCATTTGGGGCTAGATAATGAAGTAGCAAAAACCCCTGAAGTATAGCAGTATAACTTTATGTGTAAAACAGTTAGTTCTTCTTTGAGTGCTGTCTCTGTGGTGCTCCATTTTAGGTGTTCATGTGCCCCTCTGCTTGTACTCGGAGACTCTTGGTAGCAGTGCCCGGTTGGGTTGCACATATGTGATCCCCATCTTGTGCTGCTTCAGGAAGTTAACTGACACTGTGCAACCAACCCAGGCTGAGTAAGTCCTGTTAACAGTTCAACATGCTTCATACACTTCAGAAAAAGTGCACATTAACTGGGCCTATACATTGTGCATCTTGGGGAAAGATTAGAAAGCCAAACTACATGTTCACATAATGAGGTTTGAAGTCTTGCAGTAGTGCACTCCATTGTGTTCCCTGCAACACTCAAACAAATAATTGTTGCAATTAAAATAAATAAAATACCAGCTGTAGAGGGTTTGTTCTGGCTAGACCATGTGGGTAAAAAAGGCTGGTGAGGACAAACTCCTTTTTATAGTTATCATAAAACCAACCCTACTTTTGATAAAACTGTAATTACTGCCTAACCACACCTGTTTGTTTTATGTAAAACTAGAGTAATTTTTGCTGAGGGTTATTTTTAAGGTTCAAAGTTATACCAGCTTCACTAGTGATTTAAACATTTGTCCAAATTACCTGCTGTAGTTTGTAGTTTAAAAAAAGAGTTCTGATTGATTTTAGTATAAAACCTTAACAGCCCTGGTTTAAAGAGGGTTTCTTGTAACAAACAGATTGCCAAAATACAACTCCTTGAACTGTTATGTAGTTATTGTAACTATATAGAAGCAAACCTTATGTACTCAACAGGAAAAAGGTTCTGGAAACGTTTTAAATGCAAATATATCTCATTATACAACCAAATATGATGGGCCAAATTCATCCAGGGAATGACTTCATTGAAATCAGTGGACTAACTCTAGGGATGGTGACTCAATATATATTTCTCATGTTTGAATAAATAATTTAAAAGTAATCTATTTTTGATTTCTTGGGTTAGTCTAATGTATCTGATTATATTTTTAATTAGAAAGTCTTTAGGCATGAGGAAACTTCCATTCTATTGCTCAAAATGGAACAAATGTGAGTACACCTTATGAAGTTTGTATTGGTAAAGGTTCACACACACACATTGTTAAATATTTTAAGCTGGTGGGGACTAGATGGATTGTTCAGGGAATTGGTAAAGAGACACAGAGCCTTTTGGCTCCAAGCTGCCTGTCTGCATCCACCCCAGTGGCTTACGTTAAATCGGTTGGTTGTCTCAGTCCAATTCAAAATCAATACAACACACAAAAATCATTGTCATAGTGCATGATCCTGCCACTCTTATGAGTAATTCATAGGACTACTTGTGTGAGTAAGAGATTATTCAGATACTATGGAGATGGGTGTGGTATAAGAACCTCAATAGAATTGAGTAGTTCTCCCTGTGAATAATGGTGGCAGAATCAGGTCTGTAACTGGCACCACAGTTAGTAGTTTTGGTAAAGTGACAAAAATAGAAATGGTGTGGAGAATGAACTATCCTCTTACTTCTAGAAGTGATTCCTACAGAATTTGGGCCAGGGGTAGTGTGTGGAAACTTGCAATACCATTGCCCATTCCACACATGTTCTGTCGACAAAGAACTTAAGGCTAGAGTGCATGCATTTACAATCACACTTACCTACACAAAGAAAATAAAAACTGAGGTCTTTTCTATGCTGTGTTTTTCTGCACCCGTGTAGCTACACTGATATTGCTCCACTGGTGGATGTTGCTCACTGATGTAAAAGAGACTTTCAAGGCACTAGCAATCAGGCCTAGAGTTCATTTGTGTTGAAATCTTCCTATTAAAATAGTTTGAAAACTTCCAGTGTAGATACTATGATAATTTAGATTTGCACTTAGTATTGTAGCTGCTGTAGCAGAAGTTACTATAGTGCATATGCACAAACCTGAGAGGTTTTTAAACACAATAGATTGTTTTGAAAATTAGCAAAGTGATTAGTTTGTAAACTTAAAATAAAAGAGTTGTTTTTTTCTTTATTTTGTTTTAGGATAACAGCATCTTAACAGGAAAAGTATTTTTTTTCACCCTTGCAAAAAGTCAAATGCTTAACTTTATGCACATAAGTAGTCCAGCTGAAGTCAAGGGAAGTACATAAAGGTGAGCACCTGTATGAATTGTTGCATAATCAGAGCCCAATGTTGCAATCTAACCCTAACTGCAAGGAGTGCAACCATCCCTTATAATATTTGAGTTTTGAATTAAACAAAGCCTGGTCTACCTGGACATGAAAGATCCTATCCCACTTTTTGTAGGAGAGGAGGTTTGATCCATGTTCTCTTTTTCAGAATTTCCCATTTCCTTACAGTTGTGTAACATGTTTAGTTGGTGGTGATGGCTGTATTTCAGTGGTGGTTCTCACCACCAACCCATATGAAAGGGGCTTCTGCTTAATTAGTGGGAAAAATCCTCTTGGGGAGATTTGCATAGATGCAAAAGGAGTCAATATTTGGATAGTTAGAAATCTTTTCCTCTGGGTTTGGACTGAATAGTATAGACACCTTTCTTGGCATTCTGGATATATTATCAGGAGGAGCAGATATTGTGTGGTGGAGAGGAACAATTGTCTCTTCTCTGGGGGCCCCTAGATCAGAGCAGGAAGAACGTTATGTAGGGCACAAACACTCAACTAAGGAGACCCTTCTTTGCTTAGGAAGGTGAGGAAAAGGTGGATCTAGAGAGAGAAGAAATCAACGCTGAATGATTTTGGAAGTGGAGAAAGTTTCTGTGTTCTCACCTTTAAACAAAAGTAAAACCAAAGGCCTCACGCCTTTTATTAGGAGAATTATGAGTCCTATTGACCCACTATCACAAAGAACCCCATAACATGGGACTTGAGGAGCACCTCCCGCCAGAGATTAATACACTAATATAGTGCAGCTGGGGGGCAGAAGGTCTGTTTCCAGGAGCGATGAGTGATTAGTAGGGAAAGGGAGTTGGGGTAGTTACTGTTTCCGGATTAATTCACCTGCTCTTGAATACTGGGCAGGAGGTTTTGGAATCTCTCCAGGACCGCGGGGAGAGGAGTACGAGGTTTATTGTTACCTGTGATGGGAATTTGTAGATAGCAAGCTGTGAAAGAGGGCCCTGGCCCTGGCCCTGGCCCTGGCCCCACTGCTGTGTCAGCTCAGTAGGTAGATAGTGGCTTTAGAGAAGCTGGTTCCCTGGATTGTGAGCCCAGGTGAGGCGGCCAAGGGCTCCGGAGGGGAACTTGAGGTAGGTCAGACGCTGCGTTTTTAATGTCTGTCCAGGGCAGGCAGATCTCGGAGAAAGAGCCTGGAAATTTGCGGGAGAAGGGTGTCTGTGTTTTGCTAGCTCAAGCAGTAGGACTGGGCCGCGGATAACAGCGAGTTGGTGCGGGAGGAAGGGGACCGGAGCATGGGGCTACGGTGGTTTCTGTTGCCAGCCCTGGGCGTGAAGAGTTCTCCACGGCTCCCTCTGTTGGCTCAGCCAAGCTAGGAGAGGATCTGAGGGTGGAACGGGTTAGGGAGGCACTTTCTGACGCTATAAGGGCCCGTGTGTTGTTCTCCTGGGCTGAGCTCAGGGTCCCCTCCCCGAGCCGGGGAGTGGCGATTTTGCGCGGGAGCAGGAGCCTGGCCCCTTCCGCTTCAGCCCGGGTGCAGGAGCCCTGCTGCGAGCAGCGGGTGGCGGGTTTGGGGGCAGGTCCCGCTCTCGTTACCCAATGAGGAGCTGGGGTTGTGGGGTGGGGGTCACACCGTGTTCTGTGACTTGTCCGCACCGGGCACGCCGTGCCGCTCTGGAGGGGGATGTGTCGGTGGTCTCAGGGGAGCCCTCGGTCCCCGAGGCAGCGGTTGTAAATTTCAAGAAACCGCTTATTAAAAATATAAACCAACTTGGAAAAATACCCTCCTGCACCCTCCCCCCACCCCCGGGCAGCCCGGGAACGCAGCGCCCAGCTGGCGCCGATCTGTGCGCAGCTGGCACCAGCGGCGCGATTGCCCCAGGCACCACGATGCGGGAATTGAGTGCGAGCTTGGCTTTCATTTGCCAGGCGGCACAGACCCGTCTCCCCTGAGGGAGTCGCTCAGGCGGCTCCGGCTCCTGCGAGGCACTGTGCGTGTGCGTTCAACCTAACCGCGTGCGCGGGCAGCTCGGGGCAGGAGCGGCCGGGTGGGAGGCGTCTGTGCGCGTGGCTGTGATCAGGAATAGCTCCAGCTAATGCAGAAAAACGTGGGGGCGTTTGATACGAACTGCCACCCCATCACAACCCCGACTTTGCTAGGCGTCTCCCGTTGTAATACGCGGGGGGTCCCCCCCACTTCGGGGCAGCGGAGGGGTTGTGGCGGGGACCCTGCAACTCTGCAGACGGCCAGCAGCTGGCCTGGCGGCCCCCGACCCCACCCTGGCTCCGGAAAGCTCCCTGCAGCAGCCTTTGCCGAGACGTTTTTCCTTCTCTCCGAAGTTGCTCAAAGTTGGTGACTTTCCTGCCTCGGCTCGGCCAAGGGCGCTGCCCCCGGCGGGCTCCTGCCCCGCCGTGCCTGGGAGGGGGGCTCGGTGGCCAGCGGGATTTCTTTCCACACCCCTGGGTCACGTACCCACCCCCTCCAGTGGCACGGCCGACTGTGTGTAGCGGAGGCGGTGGATGCTTCCCGCTCCCCCCGTGTCTGGGGCTCCGGAGAGGAGGCGGAGGAGGAGGAGGAAGAGGAAGATGACGAGCCAGTGCAATTAGCCTAACAAGGGACGGGTGGCGGCAGCGGCGACTTTACCCCCGCACTGACACATCTCCCCTCTCTCCCTCGCCAGCCATGAAGGTGGAAGCCGGGGAGTTCAGCTGAAGTCCAGGGGGATCGCCCTGCCCTGCCCTGCCCCATGGCAGCTCCCTGAAGCCTCCCCCACGTCCCCGGCGCGGGGCCGGCTCGGGTTGCTGCGGGGCGTTGGGCGGGCGAGCGTGTGTTTTCCAATGAGGGCTCCAGAGGATTTGCTCCTCCTTTGTAACCGGGAATGAAATAATGGCGACCCGATGGGCAGCGGGGCCGCCCGGGGCAGATGGAGGCACCGAGGCGCCCGCAGGCAGCAGCCGCCAGGTAGGAGAAGCGGGGTGCGCGGGGAGGGGGGGCGGTCCCGTCAGGCGGAGGGGGGAGGCGGGGTGCGCGGGGAGGGGGGGCGGTCCCGTCAGGCGGAGGGGGGAGGCTGGGTGCGCCGCGCTAGGCCGGCTGGCGCTGAGCCCTGGGAATGGCTTAGCTGGAGCTGGTTTAATGGCCGCCCCCTCCCTGCCTCTCTCCTTCCTGCCCGCCCGCCTCAGCATGGGACGCTGGGAGCCAGGATCTGCGGTCCCCGGCAGCGGGAGGCGCCGCCGCCCCTCTAGGGGGGATCGCCGCAAAGTTTAAGTGGCTCCTTCCGCCCCTAACACACGCTCTTGGGGTGGGGGCAGCCGGGCCTCTCCCCCAGGTTTCGGGTGTTGTCGGGGTGAGGGGCAGCCTAGCCTGCCTGAGCCCGCCCCCCCATTACTCCCACCCTCCTCCGGGCTATCAGTGGCTGGGACAGCCTGGCCTGCCGGCTTCTTTGGAGCGCTCTTGGTGTGCGGACCCCCCCTCTCCTTTCGCAGGCAAGCTCCAGCACCTTCCAGTGAGAAATGTCTGTAGGCATAGCCTTTAACTCCTGGATATGCTGGTAGCTTGGTCCCTGAAGCCCCACGAACCTGCTGCCCTCAGCTCTGGTTTAAATGTCTGTGTGGGCGTATTTATAAGTCCAGGGTTGTTGGTGGAGAGTTCCTGTATGTATTTAGTTTTAAAAACTGTGTATTAAATGCCTTACGGTAGCACTGCCTTTTCAGAGTGGTAGTCCTGGCTTGAAGGGCCCCCACCTCAAACCCTTCATTCTACACTCTGTATTATGCAAAAAGAAAAGGAGGACTTGTGGCACCTTAGAAACTAAGTCTCTAAGACTAAGTCTCTAAGGTGCCACAAGTCCTCCTTTTCTTTTTGTGGATACAGACTAACACAGAAACTCTGTATTATAGCATTCAGTGCCCCCCAGTGCATCATAATTAATCAGAACTGGGCATCAAGAGTGACTTTATTCAGATCTTCTTGTATATGGCTTCAGTTGAACTGTCTTAATTCAGAGTTCAATAAGAAAATCAACATACTGTATATCTATTATACTGCAGCCTGCACAAATTCTAGCCTCTTTTCCCTGGCTGTCCTTGATATTAAGGAAGAATTACTTTTGAATTTCAGCAATATCAAGAATGCTTTTTTTCATTGAGGTCACCTGAAGTGTTACATAAAATCCCACATCTTTACATTGCATTTATTTATTTTATTTTTTAATACAACTGTTTCTAGTCTGCTGCTGGCCTTGACTCACTCCAGTGCCTTGATATAACAGGAGCACCCATGGTATTGTAAGATCATCCTAGTGTTGAGACCCCTGTGATATCTTAGTACAACAGGTTGAGAGGTTGGGACAAAGTGTTAGTCTTAATTCAGAATATGTTTACTTTAGTTTTGTTAGTTTATAACCTTAGTGGATAAACTGTGATGCTTGTGCTGGGTGGTGACGTTGTTAATTCCATTGATGATTTAAAAAAAAAGTTATCTGCATTACTGAAAGCTTGAGAATTCTTGGAAAATGCATCACTTAACTTTATGGGAAGAGAAGAAACTACGCTTTTTAATGCACAAATGAAACTACTTAGTAATTCAGCTCATACTGACTCTATTGGATCTTTGGCGCTGAGGTTTACATATAATCCACCCATCATTAGCATGGAAAACCATAATGAGTCCTTTGGAGTTGTTAGTCCATCATGTTAAGGACGCTTGGTAACTGTTTAATATGTACACTATTACCAAATGAACTAATTGTTATGGTTAAATTATATGTGAAAACATTTTTAATCCTTCAATTATAGACATGATAGTCTGTAGTAGCTACATTTTACAGGCAAATTATCTGTTGAAAATAAGCATTTATAGTTGAGATTCTCCACTACAGCAGTTGAATCATCAGTGGTACAACTGTGGATAGCATATGTGATGGCTGAACAGATCCGTCAGAGCTTGAAAAGTTAATGCCATTTACATGCTGCTGGATATTCTAGAAGTAGGAGTTTTTTGCTAGGCTCTAACTTTACAAAATATAATTTTGACCTAAGGCTGCCACAAAAGCGATTAGTGTTTCTAGTTTGGGACCTCCTCCCTTATATGGTTGGTCGAATTAGGTTTGTGTACAGAATTTATTAGGTATAAATGGAATTAAGCTCTTTAAAGTGTGAATTACCGTTTGATTTGCAAGACTGATAATTTGCATTGGGATATTAAGGCATTTCATTAATTTCTTAATGTCTGTAATAAAAGGTATTTTAAGTTTGCAGAAATATTATAGATTGCAGCTAACAGTGGGTCTCTTTCATAGTGTGGTCATCTTGACACAAGACAACATGACAGTTATGTGGACTAGATGGTGACAAACACTGTGTCAGTTTGGGACACCATTACCCATGTGCAATTTTTCTTCACAGTTCAGTATTACACATGTACATTTAATAGTTGGCTGCAAATTGATTTACATGCAGATGATGTTGGCATGATGTGAAGTCCTGAAGCATAGCTTGTGCTCACTATAGGGAGAGGAGTTGAGTTTGAGTTGCAATAAAAATTACAAGAATATAATTCCTAGCTAGTTAATAATACAGTTCCAAACCCTGTGTGACTGTCAAGTCTTGCTTTCAAGTCTTTGGCCTCGCCCTCTGTAAGCAAGGTAATATGATTTGATTGTTATGGCAAGAGAAGAAATATCCCATGAGAAGGGTTGTGTCTCTGTATCCATGCACACACAAGTGGGAGAATGAGGACACGCATCTTGGCTGTTTCAGCAGGTACATACTGTATCAGTAGTCTCCTGCTTTGTTGGTAGTTGGGTGCTCCACTTGTTCTGCTATGTCCCTGCACAATTCCTATTATTTGTTAATTTTTTAAGTATCCATATTTTTCTCAGAGGAACAGCCGTGTTAGTCTGTATTTGCAAAAAGTACTCCTTTTCTTTTTGCATATTTTTCTCCTGTTCTTTAACAGTTTTTCTTCTTGTCTTGGTTTTTAATTGTGTGGTGGCTTTTTCCTCTTTGCTTTTGCTTCCCCTTGCTGAAATGATTGCTGTGAGAGCAGAGATCAGAAACTTGGGCTTTTAGACTTCTGCCAGAATTTAAGGAAGCTGCTCCTATGGAGAGCAGTACTGGGAGCTAGCAGAAAAGGGAAGCGATTTCAGTGAAAGGGCAGCCCGCCACTCTTCTTGAAATTGTAGAAACAGAATTTCAAACTGGGGGAATGATCACTGAGCTTTCTCTATCACCACTGATCCTTCACTTTAAGGCCCTCTCCATCCCCCCTTCCCCGAGCATGTAAGGGAACACAGCATGTTTAAAAATGGAACTGGTATGGTACACTAGAAACTTCAGAGTTATGAACACCTTCGGAATGGAGGTTGTTCGTAAGTCTGAACAAAACGTTATGGTTCTTTCAAAAGTTTACAGTTGACCATTGACTTAATACAGCTTTGAAACTTTACTAGGCAGAAGAAAAATGCTGCTTTAAATTGTCTTCTTTTAAGTGAAACACACACAGAAACAGTTTCCTTACCTTGTCCAATCTTTTCTTTTAAACTTTCCCTTTACTTTTTAGTAGTTTACATTTAACACAGTATACAGTATGTGGCTTTTTTTCTCTCTACTGCCTCACTGTATAATTCTGGCTCCAAATGAGGAGTGTGTTTGACTAGTATGTTAGTAATACTGAGGTTCTACTGTATTATAATCCACACTGGGGTTACCATCTTGGATTTCCTCTGAGAAGAAAGCCTCCACACCACCACTTTCATAGCTTAAAAAGCTTCGTTTATTTTAAATAACCTTACTGCTTCTATATCAAATGTAATACAGGTGTGTGCTGATTATAATTTGTTTACTGCATAGAAAGTAAAAGGCAAAGACGCTCTTTGATGCACCACAAGCTCCGTATTGGAGAACAAACTTGTATTCCACTAGTATTCTTGCTTAAGTAAAAGCTATTAAGCACAGCTCTGAACTCCAAACGATATTATCACAGGCCTTTTTAAAAATATCTGTCCACTACCTTTCCCCTTATGCTAGCTAAAGATTTGATATGCTGGAGATATAGAGCAAGTAATGCACTACTTAGTTATAATGTTTCTTAGAAATGTTTGCACTAAAATCTAAAGATAAGAGGTCTCAAAGATAAGTTTCTGTTCAGTTTAACTACCAGCTAAATTGTTAGGAATAGCTGTCTTGGAAACCTTCGAAAGTTTTCTAAGTGGGAAATAAATGCTTGAATAGGGCTAGGTATCTGGAGGGTTTCTGTCTGTGAAGTCTGAAGTACAGTGGTAAAATTGACAGCCAATCAAAGTGTCAAGTCACAAAATACTGTATATATATATTTAGTAAGCTAAGGACTGTGTGTTTCCATAATATTTAAAACTTTATGGATGTATTTGTGGTCAAGCCTTTAAACTTTCTTTAAACTTATTACTTTGAAAGCACCACCTCTTCAGGACATCGTTGAATCTGGGACTGTAAAGGTTAGCTGGTGTGTAAAAAAAACATTAAATAGATTCATAACAAGTTTATGAATGCATGGACAGAACTTTGTCTCTTAGGATTAGTACTCCTTTCAGTAAGTGTGTGTAATTTGTGGTGATATGGAGTTGTGTACATGTTTCAATCAGAGAATAAATATGTATAATATAAATTCCAAAGTTACCAAAAAGGGTGGTGGCCAGCTTTCAAAATGGCTGGGTCAAGTTTTGCTCTGTCATGCTAGAATGACGCTGATTTCAAATGAGTTATTTTTGACCTATACTGGGGGAAAATAGAGTAGAAGTTGGAACTCTCTTCGTATGGCAGAAAACATTACCTGTTTGGAAATTTAAAGAATTTCTATTTTGGTACTATCTTGGGCTAATATAGATGAGGTATAGGCAGAGCCTTCTAATACAGCTATGGATAACAGGTTAGGCAATCCCCACCTCCACCAAGCCTAGTTGATGGCTATCCTTAAGGATTTTGAACCCTGCGCCATGCAAGGGGCCAAGCAGAGTACTTAGCACTTTTGTAGGAGGCACTTAGGATCCATTCTGCAAGATCACTAACCTCTCTGAATGCAAAATAACTTGGTCTGTTTTTTCTAATGTGTGTTGAGCACAGATAATACACCTGTACACACTGCAGCAGGAGATGTCTAAATAGTTACTGTTTTTTTTAACTGGTTTGGTGCAAACAAAGTTTGAGGTCCAGTCTGGATAGGTTTATGTTCACTTTTGTAAATCTATTATTTAATCTGAAATTTACCAATTAATGTTAAAATGACATTTCACTGCCATCTCTGCCCCATAACTTTTTGTTTGTTCCAGTTACCTTTCTTTCTGACAGATGACTGAGGTGATTACAGGGAAAACTTGTTCTGCTGAAATGGTTTATATATTTCAGGATTATGCTTTTTTGAACTTGGCATACTCTTTAAAATGTGTAAAACATCCTCAGTGGTTAGACACTTCTTGTAGTTTAATGGTAACAGAAATGGCTTTGAAAAGGTAAAAGCTGCCCCACGTATTTTCTAACCATTTGGACAACACAACCCAGTTCTCCTTTGCTGGTTCTTTTCCCCAATGATAAGAGCTGGAAGGGGGCAGAAAAAGATACAAGCTTGTTTAATAGATACTGTTCAATGACTTTTTTTCCCTACAGTTTTTATGTCTATTTTATATAGGCTAGAAATAGAATTACCGGTAAAATTTTTTTTAGGAAACTTTTGAATAAAAATGGATTTAAGCTGTTAATAACTTGTCATTGTTTTGAATAGAGCAATAGCAGGACTTATTAATGTGAGCTACTAGCTATGCAGTATACTTCCATGCAGGGGTTTTAAGTCCATATTTTGAGCTTAGTTCTTGCTTTGGTGGCAGTGTGCTATTCACCTTGTACAGGTAGTGGCCCTCATTTATTTGGCTAGATTGAAGGGTCCATGGGGATAATTGTCTTTGTCTGTTTATAAAAACCAAAATAATATATATTTACTTACTTCCGTCCTCCATGCCCTTTTCACAGGTCACTTCTTAAAACTTATGCTCTTTGGAAATGGACCTATGTCTTCGTGTGAGGTTGTTCAGCACCCAGTACAATGGGCTGTGATCTTGTTTGGGGCCAATGGGTGTTACAGCAAAGTAAGCATTAAACAAGACTTGGCTTTTAATATAAACGTAGCCAGTGTATCATTTGTACATGAATATGTCTAAACAGAGAATCCCTTCTTCGCTCCCAATTCCATGCTGATATAAATATTTAATAAATGTGTGCAAAACCCATAAAACCACATCAAAATACACTCTTTTTCCCAGAGAGGGGGTGCACTTTGGTTACATTAGCCATTATGTCAATGAAATATGCTTTGCGTTGTGACTTCATCTTTGTTCTTAAGGTCAGAAAACTATTAGTTTTATTTTTGCATTGTAAAATGCAACATTAATGCTCTCTCCAAAAGTAAGATGTTTAGAAAGTTGCTTCTATGTTTTCTTAGTAGCAGTGCTGCATCTATGTTTTGAGTATATTGCTAAGCTTTCCTTTTTTCCTTTTAGATCCATGTCCCCTCTGTCAAAGCTTCCTTCTTCAGTTCCTTAGTTTTTGGTAGAGGAACTGTACAAATAGTGCCACTGCTTCTTTCTGGGTTAGTCAGTGGGATATAAATGAATTGCTTTCAGCTGAAAGCAAACTCTGTTTTTGCCTTACATTGTCTGTCTTTAGTTATAACAGCTTGTGTACTGTGAGCTCTCTTATACAAACTACATTACCCAAAGCATTGTGGGCTGTCACTAGACTGAATAGGCATTGTAGTTTGGGGAGCTCGGTTATGGATCACGCTGTTAGTAAATACTTTGTGCTAGACATGCATTTCAATGTCAGTGCCCTTCTTTAATTCTGAAAAATACGAACAGCTGTTTAGGTTTTGAATCTTGCTTGCAGTCATGAGTTTACACCCTTGGGAGGATAGGTAGTGGACCTATTTTTGTTTCCAATTTCTTTATTCCCTTTTGCCAGCTGCTACTGCTTCACTGAGGGTGAATGAGGTGTCTCCTCTGAGGCCGGTACTAATTATGGATAGTCTATTTGCTTTTATATATACATCATTTGCATAATGTGTTGGGGGGGATACTGTATGGTTTGCACAAAGCACTAGAAAATGTACTGTAGGGAATAATCCTGCACTAGCATCTGGGGGTGGACTGTGTGTTCTAATCTTTCTCATTTTTTTGATATCTGTGAGATCTTACTCTTAAAAACCAAGTAGAACTCATTAAATCCTATCAGAGGGAAACTCTTAATTGGTTTCTGTTAAACAGTTGCAATCTGCCCAAATGAAATGAAAGGAGAGCCTTGACCCTGCTTCTAAATTAATCTTGCATTTGTACTTTTCTCACTTTGTAGTCATTGACTGAAATGGTAATATGATCCAGTGATACTGGAAGAAAAACTTGTATATATTCATTCACACTTTAATAGACTAAACATAAATATTCTTATTTTGTTGAATTGTGAGGGTTTTTTTTAATGATTGTCTTTTTTTAAAAAAATCTAGCGAAGTCCTCTAAAGACAATGGTGTGGTGCTTTTTTGGGTAGCTTGTACCACTCCTGTAGTGCAAGGATTTCCTTGGATGGAGGAGATGTTGGTTTAGTCGGGTTGTGGGGATAAGTGAGAGTGTTTGGGGTTCCGTAATTCCAGCTTGTCAGAAGGGCCATTGGCAGCCAGTGTAAATGAGAGCCGAGTAATTAGTAACTTTTACCTTGGGGGCTAACCCAAGGTCCCTGAAGAGAACCGTATGACTGGAGGAGTGCAGAAGTAATTTAAGCCACCCTTGTGGTCTCTTCACACACCCAGCGTTGTGCAGATTGCTTCTTGGCCACAGCGGAGGATCTGGGCTAGTTTATTATATAATAAATGTACATGGTGAATACAAGAGAAACCTTTTTTTCTTAAAGTATGTCCATCTATGAGAATAAAGAACAGCCCTAAGTGTATCTTAGTTCATTTTGGTTTGTAGTCATGTGTCTTTCATGTTGCCCTTTCTCTGGTTGCTGGGTTTCTCAAATCAAACCATCAAAATTTTGGTTGGTGGTTTTTTTTGAGGGATGCACACTTTCCTGTTTCTTGACTGCTGGTTGTATTTAAATCTTTAATATTTCCGTGAAACCTTATTCAGATGAAATAAAAAGTGGGTGCTGATATTTTTTATATTAAGAATCCGGGAAGGATGTGAGAGAATGGGCAGTCTTTTTAAAAAATAAAAATAGGTAGCCTCCTTGGGAGGGCTGCTTGGGAATAGTTGGGGCATAGAAGTTGTGTATATCCAAATAGCTTAAACAGTCCATGAGACTTACTGAAGAAAGAGTAAATAGTGGGTGTGTGTATATTAAAAAAATTAACTTTGAAATTTTCCCTGTTTAAAGGAACATAGTCAAATACATGTAGAGAAATTATTTCCTCTTATGAGGATCAACATTTGGCAACGTGGCAGAACCTTTTTTCCTATTGGAACCTTTATTCCTTTTTGGTGCCACCTACGCAGATCTGGGAACTGAATTGAAGAATAATGTTTAAATTCACAGTAATACATTGTTGCAGCTAAACTGGCTTCTGATTTGGTTTGGATGGGTCAGCATGATCAGCATGGATGGGTTCAAACCTTCTTAGAACATGGTTTTTAAAAATAATGTGATAGCTTAGATAAAGGCTTAGGCTAAATATTTTGAAATTATTTCTAATGAGGCTTTTACACACCCATGCTGTTCGGCCAAACTGTTAGTCCATCTACAATAATAATTCATTTGCATTAGTACATGGAAACCTACACCTTGTTGAAATGTAGTTCTCTTGCATGGTAGATGGGTCTAAGCCCATCTGTAGCAATGCTGCTGGTGTTCAAGGCTTTCATATAGTTAAGCACCATTTACCTTGTGGGGGCACTGTGTTTTAACTTTGTATTGGGACGCTAAGACATGGCTGTGTTGGTAATTTAATTAGCACCTTAAATAAGTTTGTCTGAAACAATGTTTAAACACTGTTCCTTAATTCAACTTGTAGTCCAATGTAGGTTGACCTGATTTGAACCTGGCTGTTTCTTCATCTTTTTATGATTTAAAGGGCTAGAGTTCATTATATACCTAAAGGGGGTGCAACACTGTGGCCACCAAGGATTTTCCCCTTTGCACACAAACAAAAAAAGGTGTAAAATCTTTTCAGAATTTTGGGTGAGGAATGGAAGATCAGATTTGGAGATGTTCACCAGTCAGTCAGTAGCTCCACTTGCTTTTACCCTTATCTTTTAGCACTGGTTAAGGCTCATTTGGAGGAGTTCACCTTTTGATAGGGATCTCCTGGTGAAAAGCAGTCTTGTCACATTACTTCCTTTCTCTTTACCTGTGGTTACTGTTCATTCCATCTCCCTTTAATCCCTTTCCTGATAAATAGGGACCTATTATGATTCCAGTGACAAGTATTTCCATTGTGCAGCCACACAAGCTTTTCATCACTCAACTGAGTCTTGCAAAATTCCGCTTGCTTACTCTTGCAGCTGTTTGTTTTTGTTGTTTCATCATCATTCACCATGGTAGAGGGCAGATAAGTAAACTTTGTGCCTGGATTGGTAAATTTTTATGACAAATTTACTAGCCTTTCACTCTGTTCCACGTATTCAAGACTTTCCCTTACTGATCTCCTCTGAATAGGGTCGGGCATTTACTGGGTGTTTTCACTTGTTCCGGTGGTCTTTCAGAGGCTGCTGAAGGGAGAGGATGTATGATACAGGTCAACTGGTGAAGTAGTGAGCCATAGTAACTGACTTGTAGGTGGTGTCGTTCATGATTTTTTTTTTTTTTTTTTTAAATCCATAGCACTCAGTTTTTTTTTGTCGGTTATATTGTGATTAAAAGCTCAAAGTATATACTATACAGAATATGAACTTGTATCCCACTATACAGCATAGTTAAGTGAATTAGGCCTTGTCTACGCTACACATTAGGCTGACATAAACTGCCTTATGTCAACTTAACTGTGAGGGTATACAACTGCAATGCCCCTCCCACCAATTTAACTCACCTGCTATTCTGACATAGTAAAACCACCTCCAACAAGAAGCGTGGTGTTTATGGCAATGTAGTTAGTGATGCAGTGTTGGCGTTGTCACTGAGTAGCTTATGTCTCCCTAAGTGGCCTCCAGGAGGTGTCCATCATGACCACTTTGGTCACCAGTTTGAGCTCTACTGCCCTACAGCCAGATACACAGGCATGCGCCCCTCCCCCTTTAAAGCCCTGGGAATTTTTGAAATTCCTCTTCCAGTTTGCTCATTGTGGAGAGCTCACATTGCATCTGTTTAGCTAATTATGCTGGCTCCCCCGGCATATGCACTCTTGCCTGGAGTACATCGGAGTTGTTGGATCTGATGGGTCTGTGGGGAGAGGAGGCTGTGCAGTCTCAACTCTGCTCCAGCTGCAAGAACTGATTGCTCGTGACATGGAGGAGAAAGGGCAGTGCCATGCCAAGATCAAGGAGTTGAGGCAGTTGTACCAGAAGGCAAGGGAGGCCAATCATCAGTCTGGTGTGTTGCCAAAGACATGCTGCTTCTACAAGGAGCTGCATGCCATCCTCGGCAGTGACCTCATCTTCACCACCAAGAGCCCGTGGCTACCTCAGTAGGGCTGGAGACAGTGGCTGGTGGAGTGAATTCTGAGGACACCGTGGTGGATGTGGAGGAGTTGAAGGATGGGGGACAGGCGACATGGATGTGCGGTGGCATGGCAAGCCAGGAACTCTACTTAAGTCCTGAAAGGTCCAGCCAGTTTTATGCTGTGGCACGCCTGATGCAGAAGAGGGGAGCTCCGGTAAGTACTCATTGAGCTTTGATGCTGCAGGGAGACATGAGGTAAATCTATGGGTAGAAGAAGGATTTAAATAACCAATGCAGGCACTGTTTGTATCTGCTTCTCATTCCCCTAAGCAGCTGGGCAGAAGAGGCCCTGTGGAAAAGTTTGTGGATGCCCTGGGAGTTCTCCATAGAAATCTCTAGGAAAATTTCCTGGAGCTACTCTCGGGAGAGCAGCCTTGTGTCTTCCCCTGCTGTAGGAAACTTTTCACCCCAGTTGGCAGTTATTTCTGCAGGTACCAAAGAAGC